TGCAGGACATGTTGGCTCAACTCTTTGATTCCAAGGAAAACAAGAGCTTCCCACTGAGCACTAGTAACTTGAAAAAATAAAAAAGCTGTCCGCTTTCAGGGTTTTAGCTTTATCTAAGATATATGGAGCAGTTTGATATGTGCCTCATATCAAAGTACATTCAAACCAGGGGTGGTCCTACCTTTAGGCAAAGTGAGTCATAGTAAGAAATCATCGACGGAGACACCAATTTATTTATATATATAATGTTGTATTTCCTGTCCTTCTAGTTCCTGTGCACCACAGAGCTTATGTGACGAGGGTAGAGAACACAGGTAAGAAATGATCTTTGCAGCAAATGCTTCGGAGGCAAAATCCTGCTGCGGGAGAAATAGTTAAACGAGCACATAGTTAAACTATGGAATCCGTTCCCATGAAAGATAATGGTGGCTGCCATTTTGAGGATTAGACAAATTCACAGAGGAAAAAGGCAGCTGCTGGGAATCAGGGAGAGTCCTGTTGCACTCAGGTCTTGCTTGTAGGCTTTCCACATACCCTTCAATGTTTTTCCGATGAAAATAGGGATGTCTTGAGGAAAAGTAGGACATTCTGGGATCAAATCAGAAACTGGGACAGCTTCTGTAAATCCAGGACTGCCCCTAGAGAATAGGGACAGTTGAAGGGTCTGTCCATAGGCATCGCGTTGGCTACTCTGAGAAGAGGATGCTGACCTAGATAGGCCTTTGGCTAGCCAGCAGCACTCTTCTTATGTGTTTATGAGAGACTGCACTCCCTGGGGGCAAGATGTCCCACAATGTTGGTGCAACTCTGAGAAGGCCTTATCTCTTGTTGCCTCCCTGTTGGGTTGGACATAGAGAAAGCCCTCTCATTCTGGCCTTCCAGAGCAGGCAGGATTTCTTCCCAGGACACCAACAAGCGTAGCAGAGCTTGAGAAATGCATTTTCTTTAGAGACCATGCTCGACTTCAGCTTAGCCTACAGAAAAGCATGTGTGTTTGTGCGGGGGAGGAAAACAGGGTAGTGGAAGGCTTCGATTTCCAAGCCGCTAGCTCATTCCTCGGTTCTGCGAGCTGATTAGTTCTTTCACTTGCACTCCTGCTTCTTAGCTGTCAGCGCTAGAAAAATGCACCCTGGCCAATAACGTTTCAAAAGGAATGCACAGAGATGGAATCAAAACAGCTAAGCCAAGACATTGAAGATTACCTGTGTACGAGTGAGAGGGGGAGGACTGGCAGGGGCAAAGGGAGGAATAAAGGAGCAATTCGGTAATTTCAGAAAGAATGGTACTGCTTTACCCCGGCGAGTTTGCTATCACTTGAGTAATAACAAGTTGACTCAGGTTCCCTCCCCCCTCTTTTTTTTAAAGTCTCTTTCCATTTTTGCCATCTGCCAGCTGAAGGATGTCAGGCTACACCAAGCGCAAAAGAAGACTATAGCGATTTCAAAAAGCAGCTTGTTTTATGAACAATATACAAAAGGAGGTTCTCCAACAGCTGGGCAATATTAGGCTGCCAGAAATGTAGGTCATCGTTATCAATCAGTGTTGTATATGAAATGCCCAGGTGCGCCCCGGTTAACATGGCCCCACAAAGCAAGCGGCAAATGCAGGATGAGACTGGAGGCAAGCTTGAAAGCCAAGACTGCAGAGCTATGAGACTCCTGTGTGTTTTCCTGATTCAGTGGAGCCTCTTTACATTGTGCCAGACTGTGTTTCTGACATTTGAATCCTTCTTCCCAATTAAGAATTAGATCCTGGCATACTACAAGCTCATTCACATGTTACACTGAACACAGATGCAAGCTGAGCTACACATGCTCAAATGTGCTGTGTGAAAGAGTGCACATTTATTGATTGATTTTGCTCAGTTATTTATGTACATAGGTACAGAGAAGTGGCATCCTAGAAGTTTATAAAATTATCCGTGGCATGACAAAATTGGACAGAGAAAGGTTTTTCCTTCCGAACGTTCTTTCATATGTGGTGGACTTGTAAAAGGGTAAAAGAGTATTGGGAAATGATCCATAAGGAATTGGGGAAAAAAGGTTTTAACGCACTTTCCCGAGAAACCAGAGTCCTTTCTGTTGGGGATAATTCAGACTGAAATTCCCAGGTGTCAAAAAAAGTTATTTATGTATGCTACTACTGTGGCCCGTGTTTTATTAGCCCCAAAATGGAAAAACGAGCGAGGTCCCAACCAAAGAAGAATGGCAACTTAAGTTGACAGAATATGCGCAGCTTGCAGACTTAACATATAAAATAAGAGAACAAGAAGAACATATGTTTAGAAAAGATTGGAAAACGTTTATTGAATATATGGGAAATAATTGTGTAAAGTTGAAAACGCTGGCAGCATTAAGATAAACTCAACAGTGTAAATAATAAGTTTTGAGGGATGCAATAATGGAATACTGAATGGTATAGTTTTTGTAAAATATGCAGGGATTTATGATATGTAAAATGAACCATGGAAAGAGAAGAAGGGAAGTCATTGATATCTTAAGCATGTAAAAATGAGTATTTTAAATTGCAAAACAGAAAATGTAAAAAAAATTATATACAAAAAAAAAAGAAAGGTTTTTCCTCCCTCTCTCATGGCTTGTAGAAGCTTTTCAACATCAGAAGAATCAAGACAGATAAAAGGAAGTACTTCATGCAGTGCATAGTTAAACTATGGAACTTGCTCCCTTGAGAGGCAATGATGGCCACCTTATTGGATGGCTTTAAAAGTGGATTGGACAAATTCACGGAGGATAAGACTATCATTGGGCTGATTTGCCTCCATCGGTGCTTCTGAATGCCAGTTGCTGGAAGCCACAGGACAGACCCCTAACAACAGGTGGGCTATTCAAAGGTATGAAGGGTGGAATTTGGGACTGGCTGAGAATAGGCAGACATAGAAATCCCCTATATTTTGGCCGATATTGCTCTTAAGAAGAGTGCACAGAATGCACATAAATATGTGATCAGGAATTCATGTAAAATGAATGCTACGTTTCAGTAATAACTAGATAATAAAAACAATGCTTTTTTTAAAACGGTGGAAAATACCAGGGTTTCAAATGTTTAAAGCTACATTAGACAACACAGCAGGGGGAAAAAACACCCAACCACCCCTAAAAATGCCTGCCTTGGCAATATATACCAATGACAGAGAAATACAAACGATCTAATTACTCTCCCTAATTCCCTATCTCTGTAAAGCACTTTGAGATCTCCAGATAAAATGGGCTCCAAGCTGCTCTGGAGTATTATTCATTCACACTGTTTAATGGTTACAAAGCCATCACAGCATTGTGCAAGTTCCCCAAATAAAAAATGGTTATGCAGTCTTTCAGATTAGAGGATAAGACTTCTCAGCCTTTGCTAAAACATTTGGGTGATTAATCTAGCATTAACAATTGTTCCTGCAAAGGTATTGTGACTGCTAAACAGAATGCATTAAATGCTTCTCGTGACTATTACACACACACACACACATAATATACTGGAGAAAATATTTTGCACACATCGTACATAATGAAACTAAGTAATTCAATCACATTTAATAATGCTTTCCAGATAGTTAAGGCTATCTGGATGAAGAAGGGCACTGCAATCTTAATGGCAACATTCAAATGTTACGAGGCTAACACAACGGTGTTTTCAAATCAACCACCATTTGATTCGAATTATCCGATAGATGGATGATAGATAGATGCAGATATGCCAAACAACTGGTTATGGACATTTAAAAATAAGCACAGTGGCATTGAAATAAGCCTTCCAGGAAAGAAGAGATGCAAGTAAAAGGATGCCGTGCACTCGTGCCCCTTGCTTTGGGGTAAATTGCTATCCCCATTTTGCCTATTGTGGAAATGCTTTGCTAATGCCTTTTTTAAAAATGAGGTTAGCTTTAGGGGTGACTGAGCACCACCCTGCTCAGCTCACAAAACTGAGGATCCACAAAATCTCAGGGGGGTTAATAGGTGCTGAACAAGCATGCTGCTTGCAAAATCCTTTGAGTTTGTGATCCCTGTGCCATTTCTCCCCTACACAGGAAAGCTAAGGATAACTGGCCTGGGGTGGGAGTATATAATGCCATTACCTGCTACTACTTCCCTCAGTTATTATAATAAACACTCACCTTGGGAAGGGAGGAGGTTTAACCGATGGGAGACAGCTCCTTGAAGCCTCAAAGCAATCACTGATGGGGGGGGGGTTCTCAACAGAAGGTTCAGGGAAATTGAATTTCTGAAATGAAATTTTGTTTTCTAGGCAACAGTTAGAAATACAGGAGCCCTTGCCTTCCTTTACAACTCCTCGCCCTAATCTCAGCTGGGAAATAATTGCTTCCCTGGTCCAAATGGGGTGACCACTTACTCCTGATTCCATAGACAGGTTACTTGAGTACTACCAAGGTGAGCCTCGGAATTCAAGTTATGAGTCTTCAGTTTACCTATGTGAGCCATAAAAGGATGCCAAGAAACTATTTTGCTTTTTTAAAGAAGCAAGTCACATCCAGAGAATCAGTCCAGGATCAGAAAACCATGTAAGATTTCTTGGGAAGAAAGATTTCTCATAAATATGTCAACCATTTCTCATTTTTTGAAGAAAAAAAAGTATTTTTCTGACTCTGCGCCTTGATATTCCATGCATCTACTCTCCTGCTGTTCTAGTGACTCATGTGCTGCATGCCATTTATAGTATATTTATGCTGCTCACATTCTTTACTTAATGAGAACCAAAAACAAAAACAAAAAACCTCCGTTCTGTGTCAATCCACAACATTCTCCCATTGTCCTCCTGCAGGAGAGCAATCTGTAAGAGTGGAAGATTGCGGCACTGCTTGCTCCTTTGTCAATGCTGCATCAGGACTATAAAATACTGAGCAGTAAACAAGACTTGTTAAATACTCGCTGCCTTAGAAGAGGCAATATAGCAAAATCGTTACATGTTGGTCAGAGCAGGTCCTGGAGAGAGAAGAAAGGAAGCTGCTCAAAGACCAAGAACATGCACACTTATACAATAGGTCAGTTGGTAGAACATGGGACTCTTAATCTCAAGGTCATGAGTTCAAGCCCCATGTTGGGCAAAAGTTACCTGCATTGCAGGGGTTTGAACTAGATGACATTACATTGTTCTCTAAAGTGTGTGTGTGTGTGTGTGTGTGTGTGTGTGTGTGTGTGTGTATGACTAGATATTTTCTTGCATCTTATTATACCAATGCATAACAAACTGCTTCTTTTTCAGTAAATAAATTATCAGGTTGTTTGCGATGGCAAACTCAATCTTACAACAAGAGCCAATTTCAGCCCATTGCCAAACCCTTACTGGCTTCAGCTTTGCCAGATCAAATGAATCAGCAAGACTGGATCAGGCTGGAACATACTTCTCCCCTCCACAAGAACTGGGATCCCCTGAGTCTGGGAAGAGGTCTAGCCCCCATGCAGTGTGCCAATGAGCCCTTACATGCATTTAAGTCAGTAGTTATTATTTATTCTCATTCAGGAAAAGGGCTGCATTTGGGAAGGAACTCCTCTTGGACAGCTGCACGGTGTCTTACTTATCCTTTAATTTCGGCAATAGGCTGCTTTTAAGCTTTTTACTTACAACTCTGACTTGATTAAATGAATCTTAGTTGATTAGGCATATTAGATTTACTTGATTAATCAGGTAATTGATAAATTAAAACTGCCGAAATGCATTCGAGAAAACCAATCATTCTGTAGATAGGGTGCCCATAGGAGAGCCCTTTGGATTTTGCCTCCTGAGGCAGCTGCCTCAGCCTGCCCCATGGGCAGGCCGGCCCTGACTGAGACCCTGGAGAGCAACTACCCCTCAGGGTAGACAGTCCTTGGCAAGTTTAAAGAGGGGACAAAAATTGCTCTCCAATTTCATGATTCCATTCATTCCACACAAAACTGAGAAGACCACACATTCCTCATCCCTTTTACATACCGGGCAAGATTCATTTAACATACTTTGCCCACAGGAGACCTGCACAAGTACTTTCAATTGTTTAAGAGGGCTTCCCCTCTCTCCCCCACCCCAACTTCCAAATTTGGCTGAGAGGGGTCAGGAGAACCCCCAGAACAGCATTTCGGGTTGGAGAGAGGGGAATGTTCCAGCTGGCAAGCTATACTGCTTGCACAGACAGAATGTTCGCCATAGTTCAGTGCTGAATTCCAATGCTGGATCTCCATCCTCAACCTTGTTTGCATCAAGTTCTAACCCTGATCCAGCCAACCAATGAAAAGAAGAAACATTTCCTGCAGGTTTGAGCAGATCATAGCTGGGACAGAACATGCCAAATGCCTTAGACAGCAGAAGGAAAACCAAAATAGTTTCAAAGTTAGGAAGCTGTGTTAAAAACGGCAAAGCACTCCAACCAGAATGCCCAGTAGAAATGAAATCCACAATTTGAAATAGACTTGCTGTTCCTTTTAAAGGCAATATCAGATTTCTGCATTTCAAATTTACTCCCTGCTATTTTTATTAGCTAAAATAATCTGCCCGCGCCTTTTTATATCAATCAAACGCAGCTGAAATTTGCTGTAATCTTGCAGGCCTTGCTTGTTATGAAAATACAGTTGCTAGGATACCTCCATTAGTTCATCTTCATATTGCACTGGTCTATCAATTAAGGAAGAAACATTCCCATTAATTCTCAACACAGCTATATAGGGTCCTTAAGTACATTAGTTTCTTTATCTCCACGTGGCATTTCTCTACTCAGCTCTCACCTTTGAATTTATCAAATATTAATCACAAAGAGTTTGCACTGCGTTTACATATTCAAGAAATTACTCAATTCTCACACTCTTAACTTCTATTTATAGTTGTTTTCCCATTGTTGGGGAAGTTAGAATAATTGCATACTGGTTTATTTCACCAGTGCTGGAAAATAGCAGGCACTACAAGCATGCACACAGGTCTGTCATTAGCAGGGGGCATTCTTGGTTGACTATTGCTACTCCCACCACCAGATAAAGCCACCAGTACTCAGGCGTGCCTTCCTATTGGTCAGCAAGGAATTCTGGACAAAACAAAAAGCAAGCAATAGCCACTGGATCAGCTCTGAGAGTTAGTGACCCTTGTCCCTTGCAGGACATTCCAGGGCTGGCTCAATGCATGTTATTTATTTATTTAATTTATATCGCGCTTTTCCTCCCAAAGGAGCCCCAAGCGGCATACAATTACAATACGGACGCAGACGGCGAGGGATCTCAGCTTGTTGAAAGAGGAAGGGCTTCAGCAGGTGCTAAAAGGACTACACACAGATGGCAACTGTCAAGTATTCAAGGTGAGTATTTTGATGGATGCAATAATGGAATACTGAAAGGTATAGTTTTTGTAAAATATGCAGGGATTTATGATATGTAAAATGAACCATGGAAAGAGAAGAACGGAAGTCCTTGGTATCTTAAGGATGCAAAAATGATTGTTTTAAATTGTAAAACAGAAAATGTAATAAAAATTAGATACACCCCCCCACACACAAATATTCAAGGTGACGGCTATTGTTGGGGCCACAACACTGAAGGCTCTGTTCCTACATTATACAGAATGCTATCTGCCCTCACCCGCAGAGCGCAGTGATTGATTTGATATATAAGGACGATCTTCCAGGTATCCTGGTCCCATGTTTTGTAGGACTTTATACACCCAAACCAGAACCCTGAACTTAGGCTGGTAGCTAATTGGCAGCCTGAGGAATAAAATCTCTACCTCAGTTCTATGTACTGAACTGACAGTTAAGTTTTATTCCACACTGGCAAGGTGGTGGTATCTGACACAACACCTGAAAGCAGCAGGCTTCCTTAGGGAGTTTAGGATAGGCTGCTTGGCACGCCCAGCTCTGTCCTCCAACACCTTGTCACTACTTTCCCAACATTCAACTCACAAATGCCACGGCCTGCCCTGAGACATTATACTGTACAGCAGAGGTTTCTTTTCACATCCACTTTAGGTTAGAAATTCTAGCTGTGGTAACCAGCCCAAAGCCCTAAATTTGGAGGCTCTAAACCAAGGGTAGGCAAAGTTTTTGTGGCTTGGGCTGGTTCACAGTCCTGCAGAGGCTGCAGTGGGCTGGAGTGCTTGCGCATGCGCATGCATGCACAAACACTATTTCCGGCGCTCCTTCAGGCATGGAGGAGGCGTGTGCAGTCTTATTAGAAATAAGACTTTGGGGGAGCAGGAGAGGGGAGTTGCAGAATACAAATACAGTGGTACCTCGGTTTACGAACTTAATCTGTTCCTGAAGTCCGTTCTTAAACCAAATCCGTTCTTAAACCGAGGTACGCTTTCCCCAATGAGGCCTCCCACCACCGGTGCCCTTCCACCATTCAGTTTCCATTCGTAGACTGAGGTAAAGTTCACAAACCAGAACACTACTTCTGGTTTTGTGGAGTTCGTAAACCGGATAGTTCATAAACAGGACTGTTCGTAAACCGAGGTAACACTGTAATAATTTATTTATTTATTGTATAGCACTTAATCAACGGAAACCTCCAGTTTGCATTTTGCTTTCCATTCATATTGGTAGTCTGCTTTTCCAACAACGAGGCTGAGCTCAAAGCAGCTCACGAGAATAACAACGGCGTTAAAAATTAGCTAGCATTTCAGTCAACGGAATCGTATCAAAAACACGATAGCATATAAATAAGGCAAGAGGAAAGCCAGCAAACAATTAATGCAGCTCAAACTCATAATGATTTGATAAAACCAAATGCGAAAACAAATTGACATAAAAGTTTATCAAAATATAAATAAAATGAGTAGTTTAAAAAACAAATACATGATAAAATGACATGTTGAAATGACAAGTTAAGTTTAAGTGCGTGGGTAGGCTTGCCTACTGTATACAAGGAAAGGGTTGCCATGTGAAGAGGGGTGTTTGTCTGTTTTTAAGCAATCAAACCCAGTTGTTACTTATCACTTCCTAGGATATTCTGTCCAAGTGTAGGACAATGGCCTAGAGTGCCAGGGGCAAGAAACATGCACACCCAGAAGTCAGGCAGATACAGTAGCTACTGAAACAGTGACTGCCGAGAGCTGCATCTAAACAAATGATCTGTAAACAGGCAGCCTGTGGTATTGCCGCTTAGGTTCGATGACACAGATGCAATCCTTCAAAGCGAGTGCTAAAGACTGGAGGCAGCTGTTTCCACTTGAGCGGAGCCTGTGTGGTCTTCCTGCGAGGACAAAGACATATATATATTTCTTAAAAGAGGGCACAAAGAAAAAAAATCCAAGTTTGGATTTGTTTGGAGGGAACCGTTTATATTCTGATATCTCTGATTTTGTCCCCAAACGAACAGATAGTTCAAGGCGGAGGGGCTGGGGGTGGGAAGACTTTCAGCGACTTTCAAAGTAGGCAACAATGTGTTACATGGACAAGTGGCTTGCAAAATGGCTTCCCATTTCCTCCTAATGTTCCTCCAGTCTGTCTCATGTTTAGGATGGGCCCTTATTCAGTGCCAAAAAAAGTGGAAAAGAGGGAATGCAGGTTTGCATAGGATGCTTTCAATGCAAATTCAGATAGATGATTTTTATTTTAAAACCAGTCTGGACAGCCCTTCAAGCAGAGGGCTCCTTCAAGTAGAGGACTGCCTCTGTAAAGCAGGACACATGTGGTCACCCTACTCTGGGTGGAATATAAATATCATATTTGTTACTAAGTTTGGTATATTGAAAACTACTTTAGCTGGAAAGGGAGAAAAAATGTTGCTCCTGCCCATGAGATGGGGTAAGTTTGCCCCAGCCTGATAGAAATTGAGGGCAGGGTATATAGCTTAGGGACACAGGTGGCGCTGTGGGTTAAACCACAGAACCTAGGACTTGCTGATCAGAAGGTCGGCAGTTCAAATTCCTGTGACAGGGTGAGTTCCCGTTGCTCGGTCCCTGCTCCTGCCAACCTAGCAGGTCGAAAGCACTTCAAAAGTGCAAGTAGATAAATAGGGAAGGTAAATGGCGGGAAGGTAAACGGTGTTTCCATGTGCTGCTCTGGTTCGCCAGAAGCAGCTTAGTCATGCTGGCCACATGACCCGGAAGCTGTACGCTGGCTCCCTCGGCCAATAAAGCAAGATGAGCGCC